AATTAATTTTAAGAAATAAAAATGGAAAGTCCATTTGTCCAAATTTTTTTTTTTTTAACGGGTGATCGGTTCGGTTCGGTTCACCATAACTAAATACCATACCTGCCCCTAAATGAAGCGGTTCGTTAAAATCAAAACCATAACCGCCCCATTGCACCATCGGTTCGATTTTTTTCGCCCCATTCAGTTCGGTTAACCGCGGTTTTCGGTTTTCACAGTTCGAATTGCCATCCCTAATCTAAGATCGTGAATCTTACGAAACCCTGGGAATCTTGAACGGTGTATCTTGCTACCTAAGGATTACTTTGTGTGACCTATTTGTGCAATTTGGTTGTTCTGTTTTTCAAAATGTCGTCACATTTCTAAATTGGTATTTTCAACAGGAAAGGGGATTTTTTAATTTGGCAACAAAAGATTAAGGGTATTTTGGTCCAACAAAAAGTTTCAAAAGCCATCGATGGCAAATTTTCAAAAAAAATTACAGAAGCACAAAAAGAAGAATATGATGAACTTGCATACACTTCTATCATTTTACACATGTCTGGCACTGTTTTGAGAAAAGTTGAAAAACTCGATTCTACCAAAGAACTTTGGAAAAAGTTGGAGAATTTATATTTGCTTAAATTTACTCCAAATAAGTTGTACTTGCTCGAAAGATTATTTAGTTTTAAAATGGATCCTTCAAAGGATCTAGATGACAATTTGAGTGTTTTTAACAAGTTGGTGCAAGATATCGTTAACTGTGATGAGAAGGTGTTTGAAACCTATAAGGCCATTATTTTACTTAATTCTATGCATGAGTCATATAGAGAGGTTAAGAATGCGATTAAGTATGGTAGGGACACTTTAACCCCCGAGATTGTCATCGATTACCTTAGCAGTAAGGAAATGGAGATTAAGGCTGAAAAAGAAGATAATCAAACAGGTGAGTTGCATATGATGAGGAGTAGAATGAATTTTAAGCAAATGAGTTTGGGTAGAGCTCAAGATAACAGTGATTCGAGTAGTGACTCGAGTGATGATGGTGGTAAGAAGAAGAGCAAGAGTTGGGACAAGTCCGATGGTAAACGGTGTTACAGCTGTGATAAGTTTGGACACTTCATTAGAGATTGTCCTAAGAAGAAGGGTAAGATCTGCATTTGCATCCGTGTGTAATCTTTTTCTGCATGTATGTGATTGCTCAATTCGGTTGCATGATTATATGT